GAAAAGTATAGGGTCATCAAATGAGATGAAAATTCTTAATGACACAGTGACCACAGCAGTGAAGTCAGGCACAGCAGAGTCAGAGTCTGAAGATGGCACAGGACCAGGCAGGGGCTCCCTCCATTGCACTTTTCGCTGTGCATTGAGGGTGACTCAAGGCATCTAACACATTCAGGGCACCTAGTACCTTCAGCTGCTCCTAAAATGGACCCCAAAGCACAACTGTAAGTTGTGTTGCCAACCTCGAGACAGGAGATTTTAATCCACCAGATGCTCCTCAGGAGAAAGATGGATAGTTACCTGCTAGAGGGCCACAACAGTGAATGTGAGATGGTGGGTTTTGTTTGTTTTAGTTTGTTATTGGAGGGCTTGTTGTTAATATGTCATTATTTACAGTGAAACAAGAATTTTCCACTTTCAGCTTTTATCTTTTCTTGCCATTTTTTACCCTCTAAGGAAAGAATCAGTGGGGCCTTGTTAACTTTTCCAAACGTAGAACAAATATTCCGTTCCTAGTGACCCTCATTTTAAATAACTCAGAGCAAAAAGTCCAGGCCAGTGTTTCATCTGGTCATTGGTCACATTCATCACTATCCTGTCTTCACGAAAGAGGTTGTTAGTCAGGGGACCCAGGAGGAAGGGAGCATGTTAAATAGGTACATCTTGTCACTGGATAACGTTTTGCTTGAGTAACGAAATGGACAGGCAGTTAAGGATGACTGTTAAGCAAATATGTATTCAGACCATCCAGAGAATTGAGAGGGAAACTCATTGCCATTGACTTGGAACCAACTCATGCTGACTCTAATGGGAGTTTTGAAGAGACTATAAATTGCACAAGAAGAGATTGCCTGTCTTTCTCCTGGGGTGTGATTAGTGGATTTGAACTGTCAGAGAGGTGCTGTCTTTGGGTTAGCAGCACTGCTCTCTGTAGACTAGACCACCAGAACTGCCTCCAGAGGAGAGAGACTCCTTAGGTAGTGCCCTAGGGTGGGGGGTAGGGGGTGGTTCCCAGGATAAATTGCAGCAGGTGGAGGAGGTGTGGCATGTTGTAGAACTTGGGGTTGGGGGGGTTAGAACTGAAGGGTTGGAGAAAAAGAAGGTAGACACATGGCCCAGGCCTAAGAAATAAGGAGAATCGGAGTCAGCTCCTGGCTGCCGTAGATAGGGTTGGTCAGTAGAGACTGGCCTGGGGAGGGGAGGGGGCAGAGACCCAGTAATGCTCTTGACTTTAAGAGCTTCCTGGCAAGGGTTGAAGCTACAGAGTGCTTACAGTCTGGCGGTAGAAAGAACGACATCCCCAGGAAGGGCAGGAGGAAAAACCAGACTTTTCACCCCAGGCAGACACCAGTCCAGAGGGACAAACTTTATAATGTCAGATGTGGCGTAAACAAGGCCTGCCTTACCTTGGCATCCCTCAGAAGTGGCTCTCATTTGGGGTGACAGTAATGTACCTTGTTAGGTATAGGGATCACAAGGAAATATTGCATGTCATTGGATTGATTCTAACTCACTGACCCTCTGTGACTCGATGAGACTGAGGATGGTACAGGACTTTGCAGTGCTTGGTTCTTTAGTTCATGGGTCACTGTGAATTGGAGCCAATACTGTGGTCAGGCTAAACTCAGGACAGCGTAGTATAATGGCCTTATGGGTTTCATAAACTGTAATCTTCACAAGACCAGATTTCTTGGAGCAGAAGATGAGTTTGAACCACCTACCTTGTAGGTTACAGTTGAGTTCTGCAAGACAGTGCTCCCGAGCCTTAGTGATAGATTTCTATCACTAAGTGGTAGATAAAAAGATTGAAAGAATCACTGGTGGATTGACATTTGAATCTGATTTTGTGATAGTTAAACGTGTATCAAGTTCCCTGCTCAGAGGGTTTCATTTCAAAGGTGGATCTAACATAAATCAAGTTGGGTTTTGTTTGTTTTCATTTTCATTAGTATTGCCTTTTATTATCACTGTCATAATCTTGATTTTTATATGTCTGTGGGAGTTGGGATCAGAATGTTAACAGTAAATTACACACTGCAACATTATATGGAGTATATATTGCAAAGAAAAGAGGTACCCCCCCCCCAAAAAAAGCAAACTGTAAAACCACAGTTTTGGGGGGGAGGGATTGTGTAACAATGAAGGGGTTTTACTTTTCAAGGAGAAGAGTGAATTGGGGGACCAGGGAGAAAAGGGCAACAGTGAATGACTAGAAACCCTAAGTCGCTGTAAGCTTTCATTTAAATTAATAAAAAATACACTACAGTTTTGGGTGGTGTAACTTAACTGTGTTACAAGTCAGAGAATGCCTGTAAAGTGGAAATGACTTACAAAGGAGCTGAGGCAAGATCCTCCAGTGGGAAGTTGATGCTAATGCCTGGCTTTGAGACAGTATCTAAACTGTGTGACAAGCTCTGCTGTTACTCAAAGTTCTGCCTGTGTATTATTGATCTAACTTAATAATTTTTTTACTCAATGTAATAAAGACTGTTTTGCAGTTATCCTTCTTCCTTGTTAAGATACAGTGTTACTGACTGTGGGTTGTTATAATCCAGGAGGAAAGGTGGTTGGTTTTGAGTCTGTTTAGTTGCAGAAGGTGTTAGTCAAAGGGCCAGCCACTCTTACTTTTCCATGAAATTTCCCCAAGAAAGGTTTCTTGCTCAAACAAGGTGATCAAAGGAAGCTCTCCCTCAGGGCTTCTAAATGATGCAATTTACTGGTGGGACATGGTGAAGCTTCACAAAAGTGGCTACGGTTTACACCATCCCAAATCTAACTGACCCAAAAAACTCCTTTTTATGTAATTCTGGGGCATTGGCAAACTTCTGTAAAGGTGCCATTGATGTGAGCATGTTTGGGGTCCTGTTCTAACTCCTACACACTCTACTGGTTGTGCCTCTTTGACTGTTTTGGGTCCCTTCTGATTTTTGTTGTTGATACAAGTAAGACTCAGCTCATAGCTGACCCTCCACCAGGTTTTTGTAGGTTGTAAATTGAATATGAGGAGATTGTCCATCTTTCTCCCATAGAGCAACTGGTGGATTCAAACCATATGCCTTTGAGTTGGCAACACAACTCCTTATTCTACGCCATCAGAGCTCCCAAGCTCATACTTTTAAGTCAAATGAACAAAATCCCCAGCTCCGGACTGGCTACCATCCAGTCCTTTCCAATTTATAGTGGCCCTGTAGGAGAGGATAGAATTAAG